GCTTGTTGCTGCAGTGAGGCGGACGTAAACGGATTGTGTCTGCAGGGTAAGGAAAGTATCCGGAGCACGGTATTGAACTTGTCGGCCATGAACTGATTGATTCGTTCTGTCGCGACCGTCCAACCTTTGCCTTCACTTTCGAGACTATCCAGATAAAACGCAAAGGCGCGAGCAATAGTAAGCTGGGCTTGTGGCCATAGCTCGCGAGCGTGATGTAGTAACCGAACAACATAAGTCACGCACATGTTGGGTTCTATCAGTGGCTTTGCGATCACACCCTGTTGCTCCAGCTCTAGATCGTCGGCTATCGCTTCCATCGCCATGCTGGGGGTCGGAAGAGCCCGTCCGCTTAGAAGGTGCAGGGAATAGACCAAGAGCAGTCGGAAAGCCTTGGCGTCTAGGCTCTGACGCAGGAGAAGGAGGGGAATGAAAGGCGGCACCATCTTGATGGAACAATCTGGGCTTGAGCCTCGATCCGCTTCTAAGAGTAAAACTCGAAGAATGGCTTCGTAAGGCGTGCTACTCTTGAGAACCCATGCCCATGCCACTACATCAGCGGCGGAGTATTGTCGAGCTGCAAGATAGTTGAGGTTATCTTCGCTGAAAACTAATTGCAGCGCTTCTGTCTCCGATAGTGAATCAGAATCCATGCTCGAGGTTGCTTGATCCGAAAGGGGATCCACCAGCTCTATGTAATCGGCAACAATTCTCTGTAATGAAAGCCGGTGGTAGCGTTTGAATTTGTCCCGTTGCTTTTGTGTTAAGGAAGCCATGATTCCAGTGTTCTTGGTAGTATAGACCCAGCTGCAGCTTCCGGCGCCATGAGACTGATGCACTTTTTGCAAGGTATCAATAAGGTACTCCGTAGGAGTTGGCTCAAGGGGAGATTCGGTTCGCTTGGCTCGCTTGCGTGTGTTGGGCAGTTTCTTCTCCAGCCGTAAGTGTTTATCTTTTCCTCGTTCCTCCGACAATGGTTCTGTATGTCTAGTCAGGCGTAGAGGCTTGGAATGGCCGTCTGTGCTGTCGAGCTGGCTCCCGCTCTCCTCTCGGCATCCACCTTCTCCAAAAGCCCTGCTTTTCTTCCCAATCTCGGTTTCCTGATATGTATCTATATCACCATCTCTGTCCTCTTTGTGAAGCACAGATTCAACGCTTAATTCTCCCCCTGGCTCTCTGACGTCTACAACTCTCAAGCCGGGGAAGACCGGGCCCGCATTGGAACCATTGTAGGACTGACTTAACGGGGTTCGGAGACGTAATTTGAACCAGTTGCCACCGGGGTTACCGTCGCCTTTATTGTCTGAATGTTCCGTCGCCAATTGTTGATTTTGTACATAGCCAGACCGGAGATGGTCCGGGCCCCCGAGTACGCTTAAGATCCGAAACGATCGAGTTTGGAGACCGCCATGACAGAGTTTCGTCGTCGGAGCCGTTGTAGATTGGAGAACGTTATAACAGGGAAGTCCCTATCGGAACAATTCCAGAGTCAGTAACATGAACGATATGAGAGACGACATTGATTCCGCGATACCTTCCGCCAAACACGGCTGTTGGACAAATGCGCCGCTCTCAGAGAGGTAACCCTCGAGCGGCTCGACGCATGACTTAAGACCGATGACATCCATGAAGAGAGGACATTGAGTAGCCACAGCACAGTCAATCCCGGACGTGATGTCGCTTGTCCTTAGTAGTCGACAAGTAACAAGAGCGGCGGCCGCATGGAGCATCCCGGCGATTGGGGAAAAAAGCTAGGTCACGTGATTGATCGTCACGAGTTGCGGTTCTGGCATGGCGCGCAGGAGGATCTCGCTACTCTCCCGCCTGGAGATGGAGTCCGTCTTGCGTCCTTCCAGCTCTGCGCCCTGACTCGCCCTGATCTAGCCTGCTTTTGTGGCGTCAAGGAGCTTGTTATTCCGTGTCAATCTACTACCGTTGTGACATTGCCGTGTGCGTCGCGATCTAATCCTCCCTAGCTGCAGCGTACCGCTTCTCGATCGAGCCTCGTAACTATTGGCGCATCCGCTTCGGAGAACAAGGAACACTCAATCACCGACGACTATTTTCCGCCTCTCTCGAATCATATCCCTTCATTCCATTTACCTCTTATTATTTTTGGCCGATTGTGTGTTCACTGTCACACTCCGTCGCCAGTTGGACCTTTCTGGACGACTTCGCAAAAAAAGAAGGAATAAAAGAGGCCGTTTTGTACTCGCGTCAAAGAAGAGTTCGAGAACAGCGCGACCCGAAATAATGAGTGCAGACGAAGGCGGAGGGACGGCCCCGATGCCGGTCACAAATGGCGACCAGTCGCAAAATACGCCCGATCCATCTGTCCTGGCGACTCCAGGCAAGCGAAAGCGTGTCGCGAGTCACGACGAGAAGGCCGCCCAAGACGCTGGCGCTTCTGCGACGCAATCGCAGGAAAAGGCAAAATTACAGGAGACGCTTCGCAATTTGGTGGACATTTTAAGCAAGTGAGCACTCCGCGTCACCACTAAATTGTGACTGCTTCCCACTGACCCATGTCAGGAGTGATGCCGATTTGCATCTTCTATCCTGCCCATTACCGTCGTCGCCGGCAAAACCACGTTCGAAACGCGCAAAGGTGTCCGGTGATAAAGACGAGAGTTCGAGCATTCAAGCACGGGTGGCGTCAGACCGATACAGCAGTTTGTCGGAGTTTTTGAGCGATATTGAGAAGGCGTCGGCGGCAGTGATAGAGCGGAACAAAGCTCAGGCAACGCCTGCTTCAGCTGACGGGTCGCCTCTGACAGAGACTGTCAACCGCATCGCGGCGTTCAAGAAACTCCTGAATAGCCTTGTTCGCCAGGCACATGTGAGCCAGGCCAACATCAAGACTGAAGCGTCGGAAGAAGACGGAGAAGCCCCGGCGAAGTCTACTCCGACTAATGTTGAGACCCGTAATGACAGCCTTGTGTTGACATTGTTTGGGAACCCCGCAAATCCAAAACAACTCTACTCAAGCTTGCAGAAGACCGTCAAGGTTCCACTACCTTCGGATGACGCTAATGCAGACAAATACGTGGAGGTGCAAGCGCCCTTGCGCGAAGTCGGTTTGCCCAACGGGATCTCCACCACAAAGGTGCAGCCATTTGAAGCAGAGACTGCTGTCAAAGAACATAAGAGAACTTTCGGCGATGTGTTCGCGCCTCGTGCAACACTGCCCCAGTTAGAGGCGCCCCGCAAATCCAGAACTTCTACACGCAATGCTACTAACGGCTGGATTGATCCTTTTGAAGCCATCACCGACTACAAGGCCTTCCTCGGGGATCGCAATAATTACTGCCTTGCACCTCTCCCTTCGGGACATTGGCTTCAGTATGGTGGGGTCACTTCCTCTCCATCTGTCTGGAGCCGTCGGCAGAAACAGCATTCTTCTCAACAAGCGGGTGACGACGTTCCAACCGATGACCCTGCTCTGAGCATCGACGAGGATGCTGCCCTCTTGCAGGGAGTGTACTCCTCTTTTGCTCCTTCGTTCGATAGCTCTGGGGCTGTGGAACAAGCCGACTCAAAAAATTTGGTATGGTGGAGCAAACGTGGAGCAAGGCGTTTGAACACACTCCTCTCGTTGCCGTACGTGGAAGATGAACAGAAAGATTCCACATCAGTCCAGCCCGGAAGTATCGGCGATCTTGACGAGTCCACTCTCGAAGAGATGGTGAAAACGTTCAACCCCGACGATTTTGCGGACAATATCGTGCATACAGATAAATCCACGGAAAAGTACGCTCAAGAGCGAGAAATGGACGACGTATTGCGCGATGTCTCTGATCTGCTAGAGACCCTCAGCTCCTACCAAAAGATTCGGAGTTTGGAGACTACGGCTTCTAGCGGTCAAGGAACTGAGCCTAAGGAAACAACGCCCGATGTCACAGGAGCAGACACTCCGTCGTCGGCAGAGCAGACTGTGTATGAAACACTCAAGTCAAGTCTAGCAGCTCTTGTCGCAACTCTGCCACCTTACGCTGTTGCCAAGTTGGACGGTGACCAGCTGGCCGAGCTGAACATTAGCCAAACGATCCTCATTGAGAATCCTGAGTATCAGGGCACAATGGAAAAGGATGACTATGCTTTGCAGCAGGAGCGTGCCGCTGCCTTGGCTGCCACCAGTGGTGCGAATAGAACTTCAACTCCTTCACGTTCCGGTAGCTTCCAGGCGCAGTTCAACCAACGATCATTCACGGCCAACGCGCGAACGCAGCCTCAGACTTTCCAGTCGCCACAGCCTTACTATGGGGCAAGGCAGAGCTCCACGCCAGCGCCATACACTCCTGGTCATCCCCAGCAATTCGCTGGAGCCCGCCCTCCGTCAACGCCGCAGCAGCGACCAGGCTACTTCCCTGGATACGCGCAGCAGCCAACCCCACAGTACAATCAGTACCAACGTCCTGGTCAGAACGGCTACCACCCTTACCCGGGACAACAGGGCCCGCCCGCCGCGGGTCAGGGATCTCCGCAGCCCTACACACCGCGTCCCGGACAACCTGCGCCCTATAACGCGCCCTATACAGCCGGACGTAGCGCATCCCCACAGAAACCTCCTTCTTACGCTACCCCCCGAGGCTCCTTCGGTCCTCCAGGCTCAGCCAACCCACAACAACGGTTCGTGCCGCAACAACAACAACCAGGTCAGCAGCCCCCTCCATACGGAAACTACCCCTCAAACCAAGCCCCACCGCCATCGGGAGGATATTCCAACTCAGCTGCGGCCATGACCTATGCCCGGAGCGCTGCCGAGCAAGCCATCATGATGGAGAGGAACAAAGTGCAATTAGCAGCGGCAGCTCAAAACCGACCCAGTTCAGCGACACCACAGCCATCAGGCGAAGCCTCTCAGGAACGAAGTGCAACGCCAGGAAGCAAGCAGAACGGCACGCCAGCGCCATGATGAGCGGGGGATATGATGAGACACGGTCGAGATGTAGGGATATGCGTTTGATTAACTCTTAACTTTATTATTCGTCTTTTCTCACTCTTTCTTAACCTTTTATTTTTAACTTTTTTTTTCCCTCTTGTTAACACTATACCATTTCAATTGTTTCACTTCTTCCTTTCCCTTCCCAATGGTCTTTTACCACTCACAGAGCTTAGAAAACAAACCTCCCCAGAAGAAAATAACCCCACAATCGGGAAGAAAAACAAACCAAATCAATACAATGACGAATTCCAATATGTGTATAGTGGCGGCTAATCCATGTTGGATAATAACCTTCCCGCTCAGCGATGATAACCCTTACTACTTCTACCAATTATTCTTTTATCTTCAGTTTATTTTCCTTTTAATCCCGTTTTTTTTTTATTTCCCTGTGTCACAACGCAACAATCCCCGAGTGATTGATTGCTTCTTCTAGATTCAGCTTCAGATGCAAGTTCTGGTTCCCTTTTCTTCCTTTTTTTTTCTTTTTCTATGGTCAATTCAATAGGACACGACAGGACGGATGTTTCTTAAACCATTGGTATTCTGCGGGCTTGTATGGATGGATTGATGGATGGATGGATAGGATGTTCAATGTTATCATTCATCTCGTTGGTCTGGTTTGCTTTGCTTTTCTATGCTTTACTTTACTTTCTCTACTTTCACATTCCCAATGGAGTTAACTTTACTATTGATTAACCAGAGTCATTTAAATCGATGAACAAATTATCTACATAGTTCCAGAGTCTAGGTACTAGTAGGAATGTTGTCTAGGATGACGGTAATAATTCTCGGATGCTCGGGTTGACATATTTTTCTTAGTACTAGAGTTATGCATCTCATGTTGAATTATGGGGTGGTTAAGACTTAGTTTAATTACCCATTATTGGTAGTTCATAATTGGTGAAACGAATGTAGTATACAGCAATTTCTCATCATTATACACGCTCAAATACATGACAAGAATCAATCAACCAAAGACAGGAAATTAAGAGGTAGATAGTAAGTACGACGACGGGGAAGAAGAAAAAGGTTTCTGCTATTTGGCGCACCCTATAACCCCTTCTCACCCCAGGCTGTCATCTGTTTTTCCAGTCCAGTGTCGTTAACGCCTGCCCTATCTTTCTAAAAGATCCAATTTCTCAATCTGTTCAAGGCTCAATAAAATCCGAGTGTAAGAAACGCTAGAACAACGATGTACGCTACCCAAATAAAATTCGTCGAGTCATTAGTTGATTAGTGGTAATCGTAAGTAGTGGTCAGTTAGGGGATGAACATTGCGGCGACGGTCATGAAGCCGAAGTATCTGAGTCGTGGGGTTAGTTATTGTCTTGTAGAAGGGGGGGGAGAGGAAAACATACATGGTTGCGCATCGCCAGCCGTCCCGAGAGTCAACGAGCTGGTCTGCGCTGGTGGAGTTGGTGGAGGCAATGATTGACGCAGCGACTCCTACGAGTGCGACTACGACGAGACGACCGGAGAACTCTGAAATCATGCTGAATGCGAGCAGTGGTAGGAGGATGGCAGTAGAGGCAATGATGATGGTGGTGAAGATAGGCTTCGCGGTCGAGGTAGAAGCCATGCGTGGAGTTAGAGAGATCAGGTCTTTGGTGTAATCGAGGAACCGTGTCTCAGCGGCGATGACGGGGTTGGTTTGCTTCATCCAGTTCCGATATGTGTTGATATCCTGCGTAGAGGCGCGGGGGAGTGTTTGAAGGACCCTACTATATGCGCTGAGGGCATTGTCTAGAAGATATATTGTTAGTATCCGGATCCACGATCGGCCGGCAGCTGGTACTTACTGTATTGCTCGGTCTTTCGAGCTAGCGCACTGAGGAGCTCCTCACGTCGGTAGTGAACGGAGGAGTATACCTGTGCTTGGACATCCATACGCCGGGAGGCAGGGAGCATTTTCGTGCCCTCTTGCTCGGCCGTTGCGGCCCGTTGTAATTCCTCGTACTCATCCACTAGACGCAGGTCTTCCTCCATTTGTGCAATCTCGTCCTGAAGATGAAGCAGTACGCGATGGTTGAGATTCTCGAACCGGCGATACAGAGGTGGGAGACGGGGCTCCTGGCTCTCCGTGGCCGAGCTCAGCCGTGTAGCGAGAAGGCTATATCCGGAGATGTCTGATGAGGATTTGGTGTTGCGCCTGTTCCGTCGTGTGGGCCGGTGAAGATCTTCTTCAGGGCTTCGCGGCGGCGATGGGGGTAGTGGCGACCGCTGAAGAGAGACAGAATTATGAGGGTAATACGTCTCCGGTCTTGCATTCAAGTCCACGCTTCGTTTCTCATAGTAGTTCGAGCCGTCGGGGAACGCCCCCACCCCACTGTATGCCCCGTCCAGTGAGGGTTTGTGCGCTGGGATGTGGCTCTTCACCGTGTTTGAGGTGACGGTGCTTGGAGGAATGTCAATTGAACTGGGAGTTTTCTGAGAGTTCGCCGAGGACTTTGACAGTATGGACGAGGTCCGGCTGCGGGCATCAGTGCCTTGCGCGGCGGGGCGATACATCTGACGGACTGCGTTCTTGTATGCCCCCTTGGCATTATTGCTGGGTACGTGATGCTCGTACTCATCATCAGACGAATCATCCGTTGTAGTCGAGTTATCTTCGAGGTACTCGAACACATTGGGTGCTTTGCGATCGGGGTCATGTTTGTTCTGAGCTGCTTGTGGCCGCGCAGTGGACCCGTTGCTGTTGCTCTTCGATATAGTAGATTTGGTTTGGCTGTCTACTTTGGGTTTCTCCACTGACAGTTTGGGACCTTTGGTGGATTGCGAGTTTGAAGAGATGACCGAAGCCGTGGATGCTCTGCTCGTTCCATCTTTCTTAGATTTTTTGGAACGAGTAGAGCTAGAGTAGAAGGGCATCATGGGTAGATCGGGTGGTTACTAGTGGTCAATATGGTAGCTTCAAAAGGCCGCAGCGCAAACCAGCCATACCCCAAAAGGTGAACAGAAAGAACAATCAAAAGGTACTCTGAAAGGGTGATGGTGATGGTGTTTGGAGGGGAAGCATCCAAGGCATATCAAGGGAGAAGGGTAGGGCCTCAGAGACGGCGCGAATCTCGGACGAGGGTCCAAGAATGTAGGACAGAATGCGGTTGATAGGTCTCTTCCTCCCTGTGTAGCGGATCGGAATACCCTTGACAAGCGTAGTTTGAAGATCACTGACGGACTATGGATCCCTCCACTGGAGATCCCGCCGATTAGCCGGGTTTTTAGATCGGTTTGGGGTCTAGGCAGTATCGAGAGAGCGAGAGAAAGAGAAACTAATTGTATAGATGGAAGGTAGACGGGATGACAGTCAGAACCGGAAATAATCAACAGTAAATACTGGATGGACAAGGCGAATCAGCCCCCAACACCCAGGACGAAGATGAGACAAATCTCCGACAAGAGCGACGAAGAAAAGCGCTGAACAGGTCCTTTTTTTTGGACGTGAGGCAGCCTTGAGGGAGTCTCATTCGTGGTGGTAGGCGCCCCGAGTTCCTGATCTGCTCCGATCGCGAGGGGCCCTTCCCTGTCAGAGACGGGATGTCGGATGCTTTCTTTTTCTCGATTGCGAGATGGACGATTTATTAATACATTGACTGAAAATGAGAGGAGTAGAGAAAGAGAAGCGCAATAGAGAGCAGCGAAAAGGACGAGGGAGAAGTAAAAAAATGAGGGAAGAAATACAGAAGGTGGGATGTGCAGAGGATCCACATGCTATCGATAGTTGAAGAGCAGCAACTCGACATCTTCTTTTTCTATACTACAAAATCAATCCCATGCGGGCTTCATTTGGGGATCATCTGTTCCCCCTCCATGCTGGTAACATCCTCGAAGTTTATGCTGCGTTGGCTGACGGTGACTCGCTGCCGATCCCACCTTGCATGACTGAAATTCTTCGGCGTTATCGTTGTTGGACACGATGGGCCCTAAGTAGGTCAGTCATTCATCCATCCCCGACGATGAGTTGGTGAGAAGCCATTCATGTGCTGGTATCGAGGGGTTGTTGTTTGTATCTAACTTTTATCCCGCTCTCATTCTCTGTCTGCTTTGTTCCGCTGATCCGCGGGTTGTTGAAGAGATGCATGACATTCCCTTTCCTGGAATTACTCTTGGAAGCATGACTTGCAGCTGAACCGCTGGCACTGGCTGCCTCCGAACACTGTTCACAGCGCATCGCGAATAGGATGTCTTGGAACATCATTCGGGCATATTCTTATTGGTGCAGATGAAGACTATTATCGCACTAAGAGTAGTATTCCCCTCCATTCCATTCCATTCCTTCATTTTGAGTTATTGTATACTTTGTTACCATTCGTACCGAATATCGATATGATATCTATTATCTCGATGGTATACCAGCGGTGAGGGTAATTACCGTATGGTACGGGCCGTGATCTCCGCCCGCGCTTAATTCCCGTCCTTCATCGATTCCAGTCCAGATTCCAGACCTCAAGGATTGTGCCAATTTCTTTGCCATCTCTCCCACCGCGACCGGTCCGATCTTCTCTTCCTTCTTCTCGTGGACCCGTCCTTTCGCCTACCTTCCTTGCCCTCGGGCTCATGCTTCGACCGTGGCTTCGGCAGTGCCCGCGAGCAACCCACTCGCTCGCCTGCCCGCAATGCCATCTTCCCCGGCCGCAGACTGCCAGGCGCGCCCTTAGACCCCTCCCTGCCTTGTCCCTTTCGCATCCCATTCGATCCCTCCAAACAGCGACGACCGACTCGCCGGACCGCATTCCCCTGCGAAAGCAGCTGAAACAGGACGCCAAGGCCGTCAAGGCGCGCAAGCGACAGACTCGAGAGAATGAGGAGGCCTCCCGACAGAAATGGGAGTTGACCGTGGGCATTGAGATCCACGCGCAGTTGAACACCGAGTCCAAATTATTTTCGCGTGTGTGACTGGATTCTAGACAATTGGACTGAATTGTCTGGCTGATCGCTGAGCAGGAGCGTCTACATCATCTACGGATCTTCCCAATTCGAACGTTGCGCTGTTCGATCTAGCATTCCCGGGGTCGCAACCGGTTTGTGGATGATTTCTCTATGCATGAGGTGCAGATACTTACAGCTATGGTGTAGGAGTTTCAAATCGCAACGCTCCTCCCCGCCCTCCGCGCCGCCCTTGCTTTGAACTGCGAGATACAGCCAGTCAGCAAATTCGACCGCAAGCATTACTTCTACCAGGACCAGCCGGCCGGATACCAGATCACCCAATACTACGGTAATATAGTTCCCTCCCTCTCTCGCCGCCTATTAGTGCTCTGACACAGAGTAGAGCCTTTTGCGAAGAATGGCTATGTAGACCTGTTCCGCCATGATGGCATTGCGCCTGAGGACGGCGACACGGTTCGCATCGGCATCAAACAGGTCCAGATGGAACAGGATACCGCCAAGTCGCAAGAATATCCGCCCTCGACGCAACTCCTCGACTTTAACCGTGTCTCCCACCCCCTCGTCGAGATCATCACTATGCCGCAGATCCATACTCCCGCCACCGCGGCGGCCTGTGTTCGGAAGATCCAGTCCATCTTGCAGTCATGTAATGCGGTGACAACTGGCATGGAGCTGGGAGGTCTGCGGGCTGACGTCAACGTCTCCATCCGCCAGCGAGGTGACACAGCCGGCACGCATCAGTACGGTGGCATCGGCGGACTCGGACAACGCACGGAGATCAAGAACCTGAGCAGTTTCAAGGCGGTTGAGGATGCCATCATTGCGGAGAAGAACCGGCAGATTGCCGTCCTTGAGAGTGGCGGGGTGGTAGAAGGTGAAACCCGCGGCTGGACTATTGGAAGCACCGAAACGCGCAAACTACGAGGCAAAGAGGGGGAGGTCGACTATCGCTATATGCCCGACCCGGATCTTCCGCCCCTATACATCGGCGCCGACCTCGTGGCAGCGCTTCAGACCAATCTCCCAACGTCCTCGGATGCGCTTATTGAACAACTGGCTGGGCCGGAGTATGGGCTGCCCATCGAGGATGCGAAGCCGCTGGTGGAACTGGAAGACGGCGCGCGGTTGGAGTACTATCAGGAAGTCGTGGACCTCCTGCGAGCGCTGCAGTCGGATCAGGACCCCAAGGCACAAGAAGGACTGGCGCGGGTGGCCGGCAACTGGGTTCTTCATGAGCTTGGGGGTCTATGGGCCAAAGCGGAGGAAGCGTGGGATGCGGCGCGGGTGCCTGCCCCGAGCCTGGCCGCGCTGATCGACCAGCTGCAGCGGAAGCACATCACAGGGCCGACGGCGAAGCAGGTACTCGCCATGGTGTTCGCGGGGGATGAGCGGCCGATCCCCCAGCTGCTGGAGGAGGAGAACCTGCTGCTGCGGCCACTGTCGCGCGAGGAGTATGTAGCGCTGGCGGAGGCAGCAATCAACTTGAACCCCGCCATGGTAGAACAGATCCGACAAAAGAACCAACTGGGCAAGCTGGGCTGGTTTGTCGGGCAGATGATGCGCATGGGCGAGAAGGGACGAGTGGAAGCGCCGAGAGCAGATGCGATTCTGCGGGAGTTGATCTTGGATCAGCGATAATGTATACCTGTATAGTACATAGATAAAGCAATAGATAGCAATAAGCATGCATGATACCCATCACACGGTGATTTTCCCCCACCCTTATCCCCTCTTATCCCCGAACGTCATCTGTCGGGGGTGAATTGCTAATGGAAACGGGCGGAGGAAGTGGATGCTCTCCTGGACCTGTACTTAGGGGAACAACCGTTCCCTAAAAGCAGGTCTTAGCGATCGCGGACGCCCCACGGCTGAGAATGCTTTTAACCGGCTCGTCGCCCCTGCAATCCGGTTTCATTCTTCTTTCTTTCAGTATTATCTGGAATTCTACTTCTTCCTTCATCCCTTCTAACTTCTCTTCTCTTTTCCTAACTCTCTCCCAAGGGTCCAACTTCTTGTGGTGGTGCTTTGGAGTCTACCTCGGATCGTCTCCACTCACGATCTTATCTCATCTTTGGGTCCGCCCTTCTAGAACCTTTTCTTTTTCTTCCTTCCTTCATCCCACGCGACCTACCCCTCCAACTCTTCCCCTCTCCTCTCCTCTCTCTCTTACACACATTCACCATGACTTCTCCTTCTACAATCCGGCAGAGATTCCTCTCCAAGCCCAACCAGCTGGGCGTCGTGGCCGTTGGTTTCAATGGCGGGCAGGTACGTACAGAAGAATTCCATGACGACGGATCCGTCGATCATCTAGTAGCGTGCATAGTAAAAGGAAGAACCCCCACTAACCATACACACCCCGACCACAGTGCAAGATGGGCGTCGAAGCAGCCCCGATGGCTCTCGTTCAAGCCGGTCTGCTCGAGCAACTGCGCGACGATCTGGGCTACGAACTGCACTATGACGAGAAGGTCCACCACTACGAAGATAAGATGCCCGAGTCCGACCCCGACCACCGCGGCATGAAGAAGCCCCGGTCGGTCAGCGCCGTTACCGAGTCGCTGAGCGCCCAGGTCTACGAGCACGCCAAGGAGGGCAAGTTCGTGCTGACTCTGGGTGGTGATCACTCCATCGCTATCGGTACCATTTCCGGCACGGCCAAGGCGATTCGTGAGCGACTGGGTCGTGAGATGGCTGTCATCTGGGTGGATGCGCACGCCGATATCAACATTCCTGAGATGAGCCCTAGTGGTAACATTCACGGTATGCCCATGGCGTTCTTGACGCGCTTGGCTCGTGAGGAACAAAAGGATATCTTCGGCTGGCTGCAGGATGAGCACATTGTCAACACCCGCAAGCTGGTGTACATTGGTCTTCGGGATGTGGATCGCGGTGAGAAGCAGCTGCTTCGTGAGCATGGCATCAAGGCGTTTAGCATGCATGATGTTGATCGGTAGGTTTCCTCCTCCTTACCCTTGAGTATCCTCCGATGATGCAGTGGTGTTCTGACAACCTGCAGGTACGGCATCGGCCGCGTGGTCGAAATGGCCCTGGCGCACATTGGCAATGACACACCGATCCACCTGTCGTTCGACGTGGACGCGCTGGACCCGCAGTGGGCGCCTAGCACGGGTACCCCTGTGCGTGGTGGACTGACGCTGCGCGAGGGTGACTTCATCTGCGAGTGTGTGCACGAGACGGGTAACCTGGTGGCGATGGATCTGGTGGAGGTGAACCCCAGCCTGGAGGAGCATGGCGCTAGCGACACCATCCGGACGGGATGTTCGATTGTGCGGAGTGCCCTGGGAGATACCTTGCTGTAATGCAGAAGCCTGTGGCTGTAGGGGGTGAGAACTAGAGTAGAACTAGAGAACTAATGAGCAATCTGAATCAATCAATGTTAAAGCTTATCCGGAGTAACTCTAATTAGTGTGAGCTTGACCATGCGGAGAATGGAAGATGGATGGATGGATGTAGATACTACTAAATTTACCCGCCCTGCCACCGCATTAGTTTTCCTCCTGCCACCGGAATTTCCAACGCCCATGATGAAGAGTAGTAAGTACTCCATAATTGTCTGTCTTTCTTTCATTCTCTGATTTACTTTTCTTGCATTCTTTCCTTAACTTGTCAATTGTCATTCCTTGATTTTTTGCTCGCCTCGATACTTTGATACCTACACATCAAGCACAGTTCTAGACCCGCCAGGCATCATATCATATCCGCCCAACCCACGCCTCGTCTCGCCTCGCCCCATTACGGTCAACCCTGATGCGTTGTCAATACTAAGTTGAATGAGGGTTAAGGCGGAGTTATTGTTTCAGCCTGATATGATGATATAATGCGATATTAGATTTATATCAGCATACCCCGGAAGATCATTCTTGATACATACTACAACCACCACTGCACTCTACCACTTACTACTACTTACTATATACATCCGGTCAACCCAATTGTCTATATACTACACACCACACTCACCGCACACATCTATACTCACCACCACCCCACCCCCAAAGGAACAAATACTAAACCAAAATGGCAATGCGAATCTACCACCGCCGACCCCGCCGCTACCACTGGCCGGAACTCCAACTCAACATCTGGATCATCGTGGTCCTCTCCTCCTCCGCAATCTGTCTGGGAATATTCGCCTGGTTCATGACAGTTCAAAATGACTTGGGATTGGAAGTTCCTTGGTACGATACCCTTCATTCCTTCCCCATATCCCCCAATTTCACCCCCAAAACCACCAAACTAACACCCCCCCCCTCCTCCGGAGGAAATAAAATAGGCTCTTCCCCTACATGATAACAACCGGCGCGCTCGGCATCTTCTTCGTAATCTTCATCCTAATCCTAGCGGCGCAACGCTTCCTCCTGCCCGGGATAATCATCATAGGAGGGTTTATTCTCTTCGTGCTATGGTTAACGGGACTAGTGGAGACATCGCTCCAATTGTATGGGGTCGTCGCGAACGTGAATGATAATTGTCGCAATTATATTGATAATGTTAAGCCTGTGGGCGATGGGTGGAAGACATTGGCGTGGATTGAGGAGGAGACTATTTGTGAGTTTTCATTCCTTTCTCTTTTTTTTCTTTTTGATAAATTGGGGGGTAAGGGTATGCTAATTGGTGTTTCTGGGACAGGCAATTGTTGGAGAACGGCGTTTGCGTTTGAATTGGTGAATACTATCTTTTATGTCTGGATGATTATTATGTCGTGGCAGGTTAATCGGGATCTTTATCGTTGATTTCTATCCCTCTTTGAGAAGAGATGGGTGGGATAGTTTATGTATTATGAGATATGATTGTATGATTTCAATGGATGATACAGAGCTCTTGCTCATACTCAACCTTATACTGGTATCTGTAGCATATATTCAGTGTTGTATTTTCCTATATATCTCAAACGCCCTCGCTATGCCATCACTTATTGGCAAACATGGCAAACATGGCAACATGGCAAATATCACAACGCCAAATACATCCAACTAAATATCCCAACCTAGCTACTGACTATCCATTCTCATTCGCAATTTGTTCCTCCGCCTCCGAATTGTAATCCCCTCCCTCCAGTGCTGCCATCATCTCGCGCTCCAGCTCGTCATCCTCGTCGGCCGGATCCACCTCTGCGGGATCAGGCGGGCTCGACTTGTCAGCAACCTGCTCCGGCTCCTCTGTCCCCGGTTCAGTTGCAGATGCTGTTGTGCTTGCAGTCGACTCTACCGCCCCTGCGCTGGCTACCTCCTTCAGCCCCGTGCTGCGCTCGTATGACCGCTTGATCCGCTGAGCTAGCCGCGAGCCTGGCTCGTCGCCCTCGCCGGCACTATCCATATCCTGGTCGTCGTCATCGTCGCCGCCTTCTCCTTCCTCGCGCTTCCGCTTCTTGCTGGCAGGAGTGCCTGGCTCATCCATGAATGTGGCTTCGCTGTCGCTCTCACTCTCATCATCACTGCCCAGGAACTCCTTGAGCTCATCGTGGACCGCGGCCTGCTCCTCGTCGTCGTAGCCGAGGGGCGACATTTCGGATATGCCTGCGGATTTGAGAATCTCCTCTGTTGCCTCTTCGTCATCCGCTACAGAGTCGCCCGTTGCCTCGTCCGACGATGAGAGCCACGCGCTCTCCGCTACTTCTTTGGATCCCGGTGAGATCGGCTCGCCGCGGTCGTCTGGATGCACAGGCAGGAGGTACGGTTCCTCCGCTAGGCGCTTCCATTGTGTCAGGCAGTCCAGGAGCCATTGTGTCGTGACGATCTTGACTTTCGGGTACCGGGTCGCTTCGCGCACTTTGGCCGTGCGGTTCCGCCCCGCGACGAGGTGCGTGGTCTTCATGTTGATCTTTGATGCAATGACTGCCCCGAAGCTCTTCGCCCAGAGGGAGATGTCGGCGTTTTGTGTATCCGTGCCGAGGGGAAGCACGCCGGAAAACACGAGGGTCACGCCGCCGAGGATGCGATGCTTCATTTGAGGCATAATGATCTTGACGTCCGGGACTAATTTCAGGTCGACGTCCTTCTCCTTAGACGGCTTTTCGCCGCGCAGGGCGGCGACTCGTCCACCCAGTGCCCGTGAACGTCGTCGGTCATATTCGTCGAAAAAGTCCCGGTGTACTTGCTCCAAACGCACCTCGAGGTCGAACAGCTCTCGGTCGTTGTCCTCCAGTAGGTGATGTCGGTGCTTGCTCAGATCTTGTGAGTCGTCTATGCTGCTGGATGTATCGCTGCTCTCTGCTGCATCGTCCTCCGCGTCTAGCTCCTTTTGCTTCTGCAGTAATGGTCGGTCCTCCACTTGATGCATGATTGTCTCCTCTTGTGCATCGCTCTGCTCTTGTAATAACCTGGGATTATCGCCGCCACCCATGGTTACCAGCTGTTCCAATGTCGATACCTCTGTCTGGTCGTCTCTCTTTGCCGTCGCCCCGTTGACATGATGTTCCGCCAACCCCCCCTTGGCTGTCTTCGCTGCCGGCTTCTCACCCCCTTTGCTGGGAGGTCCCAGCTCCTGCTTCTTCGGGAGGAAACTAGAGTTGATGTCCCCGATGCCGACGAAGAAGTCGTACGGCGACACCTTGATGAGATTGGGGTTCCAGCGCCAGACGTCCCCGCGGTCGTCGATAATGACGACCATCTTGGTGTCCACCGGAAACAGCCGGTGCAGGTTCTTGGCCACCAAGCTGCCACTCTCATCTCGGCTGAGAATACGGTCACCAAAGAGTTTGCGGTCTGGATCTATGATACTAGCGATATGTTGCGCATAGGACCTCGTTCCCATGGTGTAGATATGCAGCTCATACATCTCCGACACATTCTGTAGAAACGACTCTAGACCCGGTCGTAGCTTCACATAGTACCAGCACCCGCGCATTCCCGGCCCATCATCTACCAGCTGAAACGCACGCACATCGCTCAGAGCCTGATAATTCGGGTTTTCCTTGTCCTGCATCCATTCTCCGACAGTCGGGTCGACGGTAGCATGAATAATGGTCTGGTCCAGATCGACGACCAGCGACAGTTTCCGATTCGCCAGTAAGCGGCGTTTCGCATCCTCTTCCACCCGCGTAGCTTCTTGTTCACTGACAGTCAACGTGGTATTATCGTGGGCCATCTGAATCGGCGCGCGATGCACATCCGTCACCTCAGTATTGTACGAAAAGCTGCAAACAATCGTAAGCGAAGCCCAACACCAAAACACTGTTTTCACCTACTCAGTCATATCCTTGCCACAAATGGCACAGAGCCCACCAAACTGGACCTCATGAGCACATGGCTCATCAACTTCCAAAACATCGACCCTAACCAAATATCAGCATCCCAACACCAGCTCCAAATAAGTGACAGCATCGGAACATACGGCTCATCAATAACATCCCCCTTTTCAATCTTCCACTGCACCACCTCCCCATCAACCGTCGATTCGAACTTCGTCGGGAACTTGCGCTTCACATCCACCTTATTCCCCAGCCCATCCCCCTCCGTCACAGTCGTCTGGTACACATACCAGAACAGCGCCTCATCCCGTTCCACCTTATCACCGGGCTGTTTCAGCAGCGACGTGACGGTGATCGGGTAATGGAGGCTAGGCGGTAACCGGAGAAGCATGCCTGGATAACTCTTTCACACAGGTCGACTCAGCAAGCTCTCCTAGTAATTGTAGGTATCCAACCCCCCTCCTGCCTCCCTAACACCGAGAGTGAGGCAGTGTCGGGCGAGGGGCCGCGGACGGATTTATTTTCGATAACGAAAGGGAACGAAAGGAAGAAAGAAAAGGATCGAGCTCGATAGCTATGAAGCCATTCCCGAAACTTCTGCCGTCGGTAGGAACAACAGCGACCTAGCTTAATCGCAGCGGCGCACGAGGATCTCGATACGAAGGAAGTGTATTTGAATGGAACGGGGTCAGGTGGACAAGTGATGGAGTTGTCGCGGGATGGTTCGCCACGCTAGGACGCGACGAAGTCAATAAGGCGGGCGCGGGTTTGCGCTGTGGAGGTGTATCGGGTAAAGGTGGAAAGCGGGTCAATCTGGGCTCGTAATATCGAGCGCAGACGAAGGGACAAAGAAGCGATCGGGTATGGAGATTGAAGAGCGGCTAAAGAGAAGGGCAGTCGTGGGGGATGATGAAACAAAGACAGAGCAGAGAGAAAGTCTGGATGGAGGAGGTGGTGAGAGCGTGATGAAGAAGGCTTGGCTGCCAAGAGAGTTGCTTGGGTTTTGGCGCCTGGCCTGTGCGGGGCGAGACTCGCCGGCCCAGACTCGGCTGGTACCGCGGTTGCTTCTTATTGTTACTGCATCACGCGGTTTACGTCAATTCCAATCAGTTTGAGGTTGTTACTATCATATTGCATAACCATTTACATCCTAAATGCCAACATATGTCAAATAATATCACCGGCTTTCCATTGAAGATCCCTAGAATCTATCCGGCAACCGCTGCAAACATGAGGATAACCATTCACAACATTACGTGTGTTCGTCTGCCAAAATCATAGATCAAGCTACAAGAAGCAATGATGAAGCAAAGGCAGCATCATAGATACCACATCATCCCGCAAAACCCGCTTACTTAGCCTTAGCCAGACCAACAGCGCTGTTGCCAAGGTCATACACACTGTACCACTTGCGCAGGAACGCATCGCCCAAAATGGCCAAAGGACCAACCGGCTCAGGGAAGTCCATGCCCATGAAGGCACTGACGCAAGAGCCCTGCACCTCCAAGGTGTAGTCATACGAGGTGATGGTGAAGTTGTGGCCGGCAAGGGTGAAGGTAACGTCGGGCAGGGACGAGCGCTTGTCGCAGTCAACGGTGTACTGGCCGGTCCAGCCCTTCTTAGCACCGATCTGAGCATTGCTAGAAGACTGTTAGCAACTTGTTTGTTCAATCAAGACATCCAAGACTTTTTGACTTACATCATCTCGGCCAAGTCAGCAGGCAGAGCAATCAGGGAAGTACCAGTGTCCAGGATGACACCGGTGTTATCCAACTCAGCAACATCGTCGCCAAGAGCAATGGCGTCAAGGTCAACCTCCCAGTAAGCCTTGCGACGGAGGGGGATCTTGATCAGCTCGCCAGTGTAGTGGTCCTTGTCGACGCCACCGAAAGTCGCCACGGAATCGTCACCCTCCTTGTTGGTGTCTCCAAGGTAAAAGGCAAAGACAGGCTCGTCAAGGAGACCCTGGTCAAGCATGTTGTAGAAGGGAGGAACAATCTTGTTCACGGAGATGGTGTCATAACCCAAGCCGAGAATGCCATCGAACCGGCCGAAGGCAAAGGCAAGACCAGGCTCGTTGGTCGCCTCAGCGAAGTCCTGTCCCTTGACCTTCAGGTCGCCAATCTTCAGGGTGTCCTGAGAAATGAACCCGCTAAGGCTGCCAGAGCCGTACTTGATGGCGAATTCACTGCCGTTCTTGTGGTACGTACTCGAGGCAGAAGAGTCATACTTGTTGTGGAGGTAGCAGGCAATAGAGCTGCATTCGCTCGAAGGAACCCAAAGATTCGAGCTACCAGTGTCCAGGACAACCTTGAACTTCTGGGGGGGAGTACCCAGCTCGATCTCAGAGAAGTCTATGGCAGGAAGGGTCAGCAGCGATCAGCCATATAAGACGGTATCTCCATACACTGTGCATTCAGGAAGTTGTCCACCAGGACATCATGACGGCTCATGTCATTGATAGGGTTCTCCTCGACCAGCTCTTTGTGGATGGACGGGCGGATACCCATGTACTTCTGGCCCAAAGCGCGGACATGGGCGTCGATGTTATGCGTGTACTATAGACCACGGAATCAGCTTTGAATCATACTGGAGCTTCAAAGAAGCTAGCTAGCTAGCTAGCTAAGAAAAAGATGTAATGATAAGGCCACACTCACAAGCTGCTCTTCCAAAGGCACCTTGTTAAGCTTGAGCTTGTGAACCTCGGCGGAGGCACAGCCCAACAGCACGGATGCTGTGAGCAAGGAGGCTGACTTCATGATGGGCGACGGCGGAAACGACTACCCAGCGGGATAAGATGGGCTGGGTCAAGAAAACTGACAGATGCACGTATGAATAGAAATGATGATAGGGACAGAGAACGATGAAGAAGAGATGGAGGATAGCAGGGGAAAAGAGGAGGTCTGGGGGTAGGGAAGAGTGATGCGGGTGACTTAGAGCCGGGAGGCGCTGGTTGCGGAGCGACCTGCCAGGTCGCAGCCAATGGTTGGCCAGCCTGGCTGCGTCATTTGGCAAGGGGATCGTCACGGGTTATCGCTCCAGTTGATTGTAGCTGCCAGGTCGCCCAGGTACATCTTCTCTAGGGTTCAAAATATCAGGTACAATAAGTTTAGTCTAGCTATCCCATCTTCCCATCTTTGTATCTCTCTCTGAGCTTCATCCGAAGCTTCCTGGAGGTCTCCTTGTTCCTTGAGGCCTTATCGTGATGGTCGGATCACGCGAATCCGAGCGCGGGTGATGATGTAAGACCGCCTTAGGTTCCCGGTGCCTGCCTACTTCAAACTAGCGCAACCGCCTTGCTAAACTAACCAACAGCTGCGGACAGGTCCTATCTACCTATCGCTGACCTGTCTACTAAATAGGCAGCACAGAGCCAGACACGTACTCCTGTAGATCCTGAGAGGCTCGGGTAGCCGTCCAACTGGAGCTTGCATCTGTTGAATGACCGCCCCGGCCAAGTGGCGGTATCAACGTGGGTTACTGTTCTACTTTCTACAAGGTACTTGGTCCCAACCGATAGACTACCCCAGCGGAATACCCAATGCGTCAGTCGTTGTCCTAATGTGAAATAGCCTAGATGTTGATAATACAGCTAACGGTCCCCCTGTTCGCCTTGCGTAATCCGATATCCAGCTTAATGCACGTCCCATACTTGATTTACCGGTAGAATTCGAGTCTGTATGCTTGGTTAGCCATGTCCCGATCGCGGGTAGCATAGACAATGCTCCGTACCTATCCGCTTCCTGTCCGGTCTTCACCTGGGCGGCGTAAGCATCCTCGAGATCCGACTGGATGATGTTGTAACGGTTCTTTCGGACAGCACGGAGACCAGCCTCTTGCATGATGGCGGCAATGACCGCACCAGAGAGGGGCTCGTTGCGCACAATCAGCGAGTCCAGGTCAACTTCCGGCGAAAGAGACATCTTGGATGCTATCGTAGAGAAAATCAACCGGCGTTCACGCCGGTCCCGCAAAGACGGGAACTCGATCTTCCGGTCCAGACGACCCGGACGAAGCAGGGCCGGGTCCAGAGTATCAGCTCTGTTGGTGGCCATGATGACCTTGACGTTGCTCGACTGCTCGAATCCATCCATCTGATTGAGAAGTTCCAGCAAGATACGCTGCACCTCACGGTCTGCACCCGTCTGGGCGTCGAAACGCTTCGTGGCGATGGCATCAATTTCATCAATGAAAATGATAGCCGGGGAGTTCTCCCGCGCCATTCTGAAAACATCACGAACCATGCGAGGTCCTTCACCAAGGTATTTCTGAACGAATTCCGAGCCGTTTACACGGATAAAGCTGGCGGTCGTGCTGTTTGCCACCGCCTTGACCAGCATAGTCTTACCCGTACCGGGAGGGCCGTAAAGGAGGACACCGCGGGGAGGATCGATACCTATCGCCAGCATTAGTAATGGACTCTTAACAGAAGAAGCAGCATTGAAAGGAGGGTATGCTCACCGATCTGCTTGTAAAGGTCAAAGTGCGTCAAAGGCAGCTCGACTGCTTCCCTGATCTCCTGCTTCTGCATGTCAAGACCACCAACATCCGCATAAGTCACATCTGGCTTCTCGTTCTCGCCCAGCATAGCAATGGAGGAGTCAGCCTCCGGGGGTAGGATATCGACAAGGGCATTGGAGTGACGGTGGAGTGCGACCGAAGACGAAGGCTTGAGCTTCTCGCGGTCGAGCGTGGAGAGGATACGGACGACATAATTCGAGCCAGTCGACGATTGAACAATACCGGTACTAGGATAGTCAGTTATTGGTTCTATGTCGAAAGCTCTGCGCGGCACCATACTTCTGATCGATCGCCTCCATAAACTGGCCGATAACCAAAGGCACACTCTGTATCCGCTTGATCTCCTCCTGCGCACGAACGAGTTCTCTCTTCAAGCTCCTGTACGGGTAGCAAATGTTAGCTCGGGTAGAGTAAGCTCGAAGGAGGATGGTATATAGCTTGCCTTTGCTCATCCTTGATGTACTCCTCCTGAAGTTGAATGTACCTGTTATTGAAGAGTCAACATGTGCCGCGGCAACCATCATCACCGTTGGAACATACTCTAGATGTCTCTGCAATCTCTTCAATGTGGCATATTCATCGCTCCCATCGTTTCCTGTGCCCTCGAGCGAGTCTATGTTGGGGATCGTGTCCAATGGAGCTGCCTTGGTGAGAGGCGTGACGTTGTTCGCCGGGGTCTCGACGGCGACGTCTCCCATGGCGGATATTTGGTAAAAGCGGAGCGGGTGTGAAAATAGCAAGCGCAGTTAACTGTAAGCTAGAGAGAATATGTCCCAGAAAGAAATGGATGGATCAGTCGTGGGCAAGTTGGGAAGGATTTGGCTGGTTGGATCTATTGCGTCGATGCCAGACAGCCCGGCTCACGAAGCTCACGGGCAGTGGTCATGTGACTTGGTAGCTCGGCGGTCCAGCTGATATAATGGCGCAGGACAGAGCCTTTCGCTCAGTATGGACGATAGCTAACAATTTGGCACTCACGACTCGTTTTGGTGCGCTTATATGTGTATTCTATAAGTTTCTAGGCTTCAAATATATAAGTAAAAAGATTACTCCTTTTGTGAGTGTGCTGTTGTGGCTTCGCAAGTAATTCAGATATGTTAGCCGCCAAATTATATACTTCCGGCAGACATTGCTAACAAGAGATATTTCATAAAACCCAATAATATAAACACTAAGTTATTTCATTTCGCTACTCTTATTTCCAACCACGGGCCAACGTATTTCAAACCATATCTAACCTCAGGCTCCTACGTTAAGCCCATCAACCACTTAGCTATCAGACAGGCGACAAATGTTATCATCTATGTAATAGCACTGAACAACGCCAACTTAGCGAACGGCTAAATCCAAATGTTGCTAAGGAAAAACAAGTGACCTGCATAGTGTAACAACTATGAGGCAGCGTGCCTGTGCCATTTAGGATGAAATATTGCGAAGATTATATTGGGTCGACTCAAGCATCTGCGGAGGAAAGAAAAGTCCCCATTTAATCAACTATAGTACCCTTTGTGGTAGACCCGAAGATTCCAGACTCAGTTGGGCTGAGTGAATGCCTAAAGTGGGAATGGTGCATGGTCCAACACCGTCACATGACATGGTACCATTACATAATCTTAATTCTGAAGCCTAATCGGGAAAAATAACCAGCAGGCTGGGGATGAAGCCTCATTTTCTGGGGTCGGATAGTAACAGAACACGTTGTGTGCTCTGTTTAGCCGATAGCAGCAGCGGTCACCGGGATTTCCGCCGTGAGGGCTTTGGAGATAAGGTGCAGTCCCTGCATGTGATGCCATTGCCTTATTAGGACATCATCAATTATTCCTTCCATGCGAAAGTAAGCCCGCAGGTTGACGGCGGAATGCCACGAGCTGGTAGGACTGTAACGACCCATAATGTATGTGATAATCTGATACTTATCACTTGTACAGGTGCCGCTTGCTTGACCTGCCGGCAAAAGTGCCGCAAGTGTGACCGTGGCCGTCCGAGTTGCCAACGATGTGTCTCGAAAGGTTTAGTATGTGGAGGATACCCAGAACGGTTCAGATTCTGCGGAATTGCTAGTCGAGGTAAATGGAAGGGTGCTCGGATACCGACCAACAGTAGATTTCCTACCGGAGGTCGATCAGGAATAAGCGATGCTGCCTTGGATACCCCGGTGCCACCGACCCAGGAAGTTACGGAGACCCCTCCCCCCAACTTGGAAAGTGATCAAGCTTGTTCAGCCAATCTGAGTGGTAGCCCGAAGACCACGGCACAGGGAATACCTGTTCCTGAAAAGCCAGCTGAAGCTCACAGTCGGCCACTGCCAAAGCTTCCAGACGATGTAACTACGCTTCTCGATTCGCCCGACACAGCTAGGCTGTTAAGCCATTGTAGGCCTCACCCCTCGAACCATTGATAGCAAGACACTAAAGACACGCTGCAGATGATGATGTTATTTGCCCTCATCAGATCGCTGAGGTTGGGGATGACGCAGAGAACCCTTACCGAGCATATATTCTCCCGCTGGCGCGCAAGAAAATCGGGCTATTGTACGCTCTTCTTGGGCTTTCTGCTTCCCACCTCGGGCGGGTGATTGGAGATGAGTTCCTACACGAAGCCACGGCGGTTGAATATCGTATGAAAGCCATACGTGCCCTGAGCGAAGAAATCCGTAAGAGCCAAAGGACATCTTTGCTCGAAGACGAACAAGATACCGTCTTAGCGATAATACAGGTCCTGTTGCTTCATGATGTAGGCTTCGTGTGCCCTATCTATGCCACAATTAATTACTCGAGCATCTAAACTTACAGGAAATAGATTTCTGAATCAGGAATATCGAGTCATGGCATTCACATCACAGGTGCCATGTCCGTCTGTAAACAGCTGTTGATCTCCGAGGGGCTACATGGCCGACGTCAACGGGCCATGTTCTTTCTCGGTAACCTGGCTTGGTATGTTAACCCAGGCCTGATGTTTCCGATACAAGGCTCACTAGTGAAAACCTAGGCTTGACATAATTCGAGCATCTGCTGGCCCCGAGAGAATGTGCTTTTCTCAGGACATTCGTGAGCTAGTCGCTTGCGCCAGCGATAGAAAGTTCGAATTGGTAAATGGGTGCCCGAGAGAAGTCTTTCTGGTCATCGGCGCAGCACTGGAAAAGGCAAAGGAACATACACTAGGCTGGCTTACTTGGGATGAGTATCAGATCGCCCTGCTCCTAGCAAAGCACAAGCTCTATGCATGGGATCCAAAAGGAAGAGAGTACCCTAGTCATGACCCTCTCTGGCTGTTCATAGCAGAGGCTTTCCAGTTTGCATGTATCTTGCGTATTCTTCGGCTACTAGACCCGTTGAAGCCAGCTAGCAGCTCTGATATACAAGAGTGTGTTCGAAAGATTCTCGACGCGACGGCGATCATTACTCCGGAATGCTCGTTACTGGAAATTCTTGTCTTCCCACTCTTTATGGCAGGATCTGACTGTATCTCGCGTCATTCGCAGTATTATGTCCTTACGAGACTGCGCGAAGTTGAGCGAAGATCGGAGTTTCGCAATCCGGTCCCTGCTGATATATTAAGAAAGGTTTGGGATGCTCGTGCGGCTCAGGCCGAAGATGATTATACAAATATCTCATGGACGGCATTTGTAAGTGACACCTTAATATTTCGGAAATTTCAAAGCTTACCATTCAACCTAGACACACTCCCCCGGACTTGCACGACAGCATGACTACCTAATCATATGAAGTTATACGTACATCGGTTACCATCGATGATCATGCCGCTTATTTGCAGGATCTGCAAATCGCCGATGGGTTATCGATTGTCTATCTAGAAGTAGATCGCGAATAATGACATATTGTAAAGATTACTGCATCACTCGGGTTGACTTGCTTTGCGCTGATCGGGATCCATGCTCGTTTCGATGCGGCGAATGATGCGTGCTGGGTTTCCGGCAACAAAATGGAAGGGAGGAACGCTCTGCAATTAAATTTAACCGATTCTTTACGAGACATAATAGCCAGAATATAGCATGGCATACCCTTGTCACCACAGATCCAGCTCCCACCGTACTGCCTCGTCCGATAGTAACTCCGGCTAAGATGATTACACTGCCTCCTATCCAGACATCGTCTTCGATATGCACTTCCTTGCCGGCTTCTGGGCCCTCTATACCCCGTCGCACAGCTGGGTCCAAAGGATGGGTAGCCCCGTAGATACAAAGATTCGGACCGGTAAGCACCCTTTCACCAATGGTCACGGGACATGTATCCAGGACATGAAGGTTGTAGTTCAGAAAGGTTTTTTTGCCGACCTTGAAGTTCAAGCCGTGATCCACCGAGATGGGAGGGTCCACATAGGGATCTGTATCGTCAAAGAGCTTCTCATCCTCCCGAGGATCGGAATGGGCTGGAGGCAGAGGGCGCGTATCACCTAGGATGCTGTACATCAGGAGGTCAATTTGAAGAGCACTCCCAAAAGCCGGTAGAAGAACTCACTCCCGCCATAGTTCCACCCTGCGCCGCCGAGCGACCTGCCCAGCTTGATTGAACCTGTCGCATGCTTCTTTGCAGCGCTGCCGATTGGCCTGAAGGTCTGCATCCCAAGGAGCGTAGAGCTCGCCATTGAGCATCTTCTGCCATTCTTTCGATGTCGTCATTGTTCTAATGTAGAATGCTGGCAGGGACTCTGATATCAGAGGATGCAGAGGCTGGCGAGCGATTGTAGCTCCATTATATAGTATCAGTGAGCAGACTAAAACAGTTCATCGAGTTGTGGCCATTCATTATCCAATGCGAATCAGCTGGGCGGTTGGGAATACTTCCGAATTAGGCAGGTTAGGCCTCGGCCGGTGCGAATCACGAACGGCCAGCTTGTGGGTACGCCGAGCCTGAACTAAGTACTATGAGACTGAATTTTGCTCCAGAAGATTACGATTTAATATCGCTCTTTCACCATGCATAAGCTGCTGAGCTACAATTACGGTTTTGGATTGTGGGATCAATGCATACTATATTGTGTCACCGAAGTTGGATAGTAAGGAGACAGCATGCTATTCAAATTCCATGCCTACGGTATCCGAGACCAAATGAATACTGAGACAATGCAAGGCCCTTTCAATGTAGTACAATTGACAGATGATGCATGTATAGTTTCTGCATCACAGATAATGGTATGATAGTAATAGTATACGATCTAGAACCAGGGATCAGGCAGGATCTAAGGCTGCCACTGATGACGTAATACACGACTCTACATGGTGATTATTAACTTAACTAACTAATCTGCCACCAGGGTCCGCCTACTGAATTGGCTCACCCCTTTTACCCGCTGCCCGACTGCTACCGACCTGTGCTCCTGCTCCTGCTGCTTGCTGCTCGCTGCTGCTGCTGCTACGTACTACCGGTAAGATAAAACTTACTGGAAACCCTTACGCCAGGCACATCCGAACTTGCCTATCGTTTTTGTTCCCTTGTCCCGTCTGGCTGAAATCTGATTCTCGACTCGTGAGGCGCGCCTCTGATCACTCCACGCCCGTCCCCATTCCTGCCTTTCCCAACCCCGTGTGCCTCTCCACCTTTCCAGAAGGAGACGCCCCCTCCCTTCCCTTGGGAAGCAAAAAGGAATCTAGAAATTCAAAATTAATCGGCTCAAATAAAATACCAGATTTTCAGGTACTGCAGTGTACCAAATCTTTACGGAGCTTTAAGTCCAGGTACGCCTGTCATTCCTCACTATTGATCCCATCCCCCCCGCTTGTCTCCCAGTCATTGGATTTGCCTTCCACACGCCTCACACAACTGTGGCCACGCACTAAGTAAAGTGCTGGCCACCCTTTTACCCTCCCATTCCTCGGGAGTACCGCGCACGTTGCCCCAAAAGCCATCGCTGGTGGTCCCTTTCTTCCATGGGTTACAGGCCCTTCTATGGCTGATCCATCATTCTGCTTTTGATCATTTTAATTTCTGCAGCCTGTTGTTTGTCATTTTCACAAATCCACTTTGAAACCCCCCTCCCATACTTCCCAGGTCGCCTTGCGATTTGCTGATCGGTCTTCTGCCACTCAGTGCCGCTCGCAACGCCGCTGCGAATCCTCACTTGATTTTCTGCCCTTTTTGCGGTACCAGCGACCTTCCATGGTCCCGTGACCTGCTCGATCTCCTCGCAATCTCTCTCTCCGGCCTTCCAACCACTGCTATTCGGGACCGGCCTCCATCCGCTTGTGAGTCGGCATTTTTAGTTGTCCAGCCTTGTCGGTATGTACATCCTGCCTGTCCCTTACAATTTTCCTTTTTGAGAAAACATCAATCCACCCACCCCAGATTATCCCATTTACCCCCCGTCTTTCCCCCGTCTACACGTTGGGGTGGCTGTCCTCGGTGTGGTGTGTGGTCGCTGCTTCGTGTCGCAGAGCGACAGCGCGACACCCTTCACTGTCAGCTTCCTCACCTGACGCGTCTAGACCCTCTTCCACCTTACAAACCTGGGAGATTGTGTCATTTACCCCTAAAAAACAAGCTCGTGATGATTGTAACACTACTGTCCTTATCGGTCGCGTATCGATGATGACCTTGGTGCTCGTGTCATTTTTCTGACAGCTCTGGTTACCTTACAGATGGGTTGGTAAAACCACTCGACATGAATGCCTGGCTAGCCGACGCCTCGAATCTTCCGAACCATGACAATGGTGCTTTTCACCAAGCGACCATTGATCCTTCTGCGGCATTCCTCCATACCTCTCCTACTCCCGACCCTACCCAGTTCCAGCGCATGTTCAATGGCGTACCGCGAAATGCCTCCCCTGGCTTCCACAACCCGAACCAGGTGATTCCGTCAAAAAGGCCGCGACCGGAGGATGCCATGTCGATGTCGCCTCGACAGGCTCCCGGGGCTATCGCGGCATCCCGGTCTCAGACTCCTCACCAGGTGCCATTCCCAGGGTACCAAGGAGCTGCAAATGGCGCACCTCAATATCCTCCGCATCCCACTCCGTATCAGCACCTCCAGCAAGGAGCTTCTCCGAACGTCACCCAATCTCCGATCATGCAGGAATTCGACCAACACGGTGTACAACGAATGGGAACAGCTTCGCCCAGCCCGTTCTCCCCAGCCGGCCCTCAAGTAGGCTCCCACATGTCTCCGTCACAGTCCGATCATCCGAGTAGGGTGAACACGCCGCAAAACAGCTCATTTATGCCCAATCAACCGTACCCTCAGGCCATGGCGCCCCAGTTCCCGCCCGCGCCTGCAATGACTACTGCCGCTGTGCAGGCGCCGATGCAAGCACATTACGGCGGTATGCCTCAGGGGTATCAGCAGGCCATAGCTGCCCAGCAGCAACAGCAGCGAATGCATGCCATGCAGATGCAAAACCAGGGTCGTCCAATGGCGATGAATCCCGCCATGGCCGGGCGACCCGTGGCAGCTGGGATGAACGCGATGGCCAATCCTCAACAAATGGCCGCCATCAGGCAGATGCAACAGACTATGGCAAAACCGCCTAATCCGGAAGGGTTCATGAGGTCACTGCAGAAGTTCATGATGTCGCGCAACCTTCCCCTCGACCCTAGTCCCGTTGTTTGCGGTCGCCCGATTAACCTGGTCCAGCTTTATGCTACGGTCATGAAGCTCGGAGGATCAAAGAAGATAACGGCTGCGAATATGTGGCATGTCATTGCACAGCAACTGCAGTTCCCGCCGATGCAGCTGCCGATGGCCATGCAGGAGCTTAGGGAGCATTATCAGCGGAACCTAGCTGCGTACGAGCAGGCCTTCCTCAGCACCCAGCAGAAGCAATTTGCGGAGCAGATGCAGCAAACCGCGGTGCCACGCCAGCCCAGTGATCCATCTGCTATGCAGTTCCAGTCTCCAGCCATTAAACCGGGCCAGGGGTATGACAATGCACAGCAGATGGGACACCCATCGCCAAGTCCCGCGTCTGTATCGAGTAGCGTACAACATAACGCTTCGAATGGTTTCGCGACGCCTACACCTGTTAAAACTCAGGGCAAACCGCAGAACCAGCACCGTCTCAGTATTTCCCGCCAGTCACAACCTCCAGCAACGCCAAATGATCCCACTGGCCAATTACCGAGTCAATCGCCTGCGCAGCCGGGTAAAGCCCCAGGCCCAGTCCCTGTGAAGCCCTCAGAACAGCTGGACCAGTCGGATCAGCCATTGAAGCATCAAATTGAGGATCCGTACAAACCCATGGTCTTGCCAGAAAGCAGTTTCCATGGACCCATAGCCATCGATGAAATGTATCAGATCGGGGAGGATATTTCTCGACTGAAGCCTAATGTCCCCAGTTTTGCTGAGTTGGGTGTAATTGATATCCACGCTCTCACAATGAGCATCAAATCCGGGATCCATGCTGAAATGCGCATGGCTTTGGATACGCTTACATCCATATCTTCAGAGCCGGCGATCCAAATATCGTTAGATAACTGCGACGATCTGGTGGAGAGCTTGATAGAATGCGCCGAGGACCAGGCAGAGTTTCTCGCGGAACATGCTGCCGAAGTGTCTGATATGATGCTTCTATCTTCTTATGAAGAAGTGACTCGTGGATGTCAATCGGAGTGGACGTCTTTGGCGGATGTACCAGAATTCGGCAGCCTCGACTACGAACTAGACCGTGCCGTCGACCGACTCATCTGCATTACAACCATACTACGCAATTTTTCGTTTATCGAGTCGAACTTTGGAATGTTGTCTACTCCTCCAGTTGTTCAATTCATGTCGACTATCATTCGTTACCTCGGCACTCGCAATATGCTACTGAGAACACATCAAAACACATTGGATTTCATGAAGGACACAGTCACTTACCTCAGCAACGTGGCTCACACCATTCAGTTACCGAGTAAGGAAGAAGCACTTTGTCTTCTGCATTTCCTTCTTGCTTTTGCACCATTCCCAGGTCCTATGAGCTCGGAGGGCATAATGTTCAATTCATACAACCCCTCTATTCATAAGTACACACCGGCAGCGGTTGATAGCTTGGCCAAGCTTTTGGCACGGGATGAGCCCAACCGGACATTCTTCAGAGCAATCTTTTCTGGCGATGGTGCCTCGATCCAGCAAGAGTTGCTGACCCGTGCCTTTGGTCTTGCCATTTGCCCGGTCCCTGATCAACCGCGGAAACCCTTGGCTATAGCGGATGCTCGGAAGGTTTTCCTCATGCAAGGCCTATTGGCAGCGGACATCCTTTCAGGCTTTGCGGATGGACCTATTGCCAAGTCATGGCTGGAGTCGACCGACGGGTTTGCGATCCATCTACTGCGGCTCTCATGCCTCCTGAGCACAGAACGAGTTCCTCCACCGAGCACCAACTCCCGCCAATCCCATGCCGCAAGGGGTCAAGCCGAAGCCGAGGCTGCTGCTTACAGCTCCATAATCAATCGGGGTTTGGCAATTCTGCGTCGACTAGCTGAGAAGTCAAAGCTTGCTGATTCCAACGCCACGTTACGGTTCCCGTCGGGAATCATCCCAAGGAAAGAAAGCTTGCTTGGCGCACTGTTGATGCCTAACATAGATCCTGGTGTTGTACGGCAATTGATAACTTATGCACGACTAGCGGAATGAATGCGGTAACTTCTGGAACGGTTAGGGGGTTTTTTTTTCTGGGATCATTTCTAGCGCGCTGGTTAACCCGAAGGTTTCATGTTTGGGCCACGCTTAGAACATGCCTTGTTGATGTTTGCTTCTGTCATGTCTTCTACTTCCAACCTTGAGTAAACAACTATCTACATCTCCGTTTTCTCCCTTGTTTTTTTTTTTTTTTTTTTTCTTTCCTACTCTTTTACTCGATCTCGTGTGTTAGGCGCCGGTGGGAAGAACCTTTTTTTCTTTTATCGAGAGAGGCGTGACAATGTGTATCTCTGTGCTTTACCGCTGTACAATGTTCAATACCCTCGGGCGACAAAAAAAATCATGCATGATGTCTAAATGGGTAACTCTACTGTATTAACTGAACTGGACCGATTCCGGTTGATAGTACGCTCTTGGTCTGAGCGTTGCCTTTCCAAATTAGGAACAGTTCGTAGGCTACTAGGCTGGCTAGTTGGCGGTAAGTCCTGGCATGTTGTTGCGTAGTACCCTTGTATCGGCATCTCTTGTAATCGTATGACGTGTAGTATGATTGTAGTATGACATGTAGTGTGATCAAGAGATCAGCTGCTAGTGAGGATACCGCTAGTTCTCTCAAGGATTCAGAGGGTGGAGGGGGTAAAATAGCGGAAGACGTTATATCCACTGATACTAAGCTACTACTACGAGCCAGTAGATGAAAGGGAAGAGGAGATGAGACCACTTTCGGATGAATAGATAGTAATCATGTACCGAACCCGCAGCAGTTCGCCGTAGACTTGAGAGATATGGAAAAAGCGAAAATAGAAAAGGTAGAGATCACGCCAGTATACATACATACATACAGCAGCCAGAAAAACAGAAGCCCCGCAAAAATAAGGGAGTTATGACAGGAACACCAGCACTAGTAGGAGAGAGAAAAGTAATACAAAGTGAGGAATAAAGTAAGTAGAGGGAAATTTGGAAAAAAGGAAAATGGAGTCATGGGGGGACATTATAACCAAAGTATATCGATCATCCCTGACCATTGCAGATATGCACTGCTTATTTTCTTTTCATCCCGTCGTTCTGGTTCGGCCCTTTTTTAGTCTTCTTCTTGTTACCAAGTCTGCAGTGTGTGGTTTCGTCCTGTCCCTGAACCCCCATCGCTCCCTGTGCTAGGCGTGACAATAGACAAGTGTGTGTATGTGGCAGTGTCGTTGGGTTCAATGAGTTGGTGCCGACGTAGGTTTGATAGTAGAAGAGGAGCGAAAGGGATCCAGGGATGACTCCGGTTTATTCTCTTGTCGTTTTGCTTAGAAGTTGCGTTCCTGGAGGAACTTCAGGATCTCAGGTTTGCGCCAGCCCTAAGTGAAGCAGCGAGATTAGCTCGGTCGTGGTCAACTGGAGGATCGTATAGGACATACCTTGACAATGATGTGACCGTTAAGACGGTTAATGGTCACATCCGGGCTCTTGGGAGCGCGGGGGTCACCCGACTCCAGTCCCAGGTACTGCGCCAGATCGTTCCTCAGGGCATCCAGATCGCCTTCAGTCTTCTGGAGCTTGGTTTGTTGCTTGGTACCGCCGGCCTTAGTGACGAGATATACGGGGAGTTGATTGGAGGCTGTGCGACGGATGAAATAAGGGAGGTTTGTGAGTTGCAGGTTGGGCGGCGGTTGCGATACCGGGGTTTCCTTGAGTGTCTGAGATTGCCGCTTGAGTTGAACGAGGAAAGTCCGACATTGCTGGGCGGCAACCTGGGGCTGAGAGATAATTTGGGAGGAGTGACGAGAAGTGAGTTCTAAGAGCAAGTCAGGAAAAGCTCAACGGATCCTTTTTGATACCCTTCGGGCATTTGCTGCCCAGGAACAGCCACGCTTACTATCCCGATGGGATAGGCCGTGGGTGGAACGGACGGAAAGGGTCGCGACATACGAGAGGGGGTCAATCTAGCTGAAGAACATAGCGAGGAGAAGGAGCTACGCGTCCCTGACGAGACTCTAGACTGTGAAGCTTTGTGCAGATAGAAGGGAACAGCGGTTGACTGCTTGCGAGAAGCCGAGCAGACCGGCAGAGACTGCATGAAGGATGCCATCGGGGTTGGTAAGGGGGAGGTCAAGGGGGAGGCAACGGAAACAGCCTGAACGATTCCTAGGAGCCGGGGAATCGAGGAACAACCCAGAAGGGAGTTTAAAAGAGGGAGAGGGGAGGAGACAGACAAGACGAGGGCCGGAGAGCGCGAGAGAACGAACATACGACATGCAGAAATGAAGCGATGATTTCTTGCTTCGGCGCGGAGACCTTCCGCTAGGCCCAGAAGGGAATAGCGCGCCCAGCAGCCCTTCGCCCACATTTTCGCCAGCGCAAAAGCCGCCGCACACTGACTTTGAAGTCTGCCGCTGCTCATTGTGAGAGGCTCTCCGTTCGTGAATCGCTTCCTCTCTTCTGTTTTTGTCCTTTTTCTCCCTCCCCTCTTTTTCCCCCCTCCCCCCCTCCTCCTCCACCACCCCCCCCAATTGATTCCGATCCCCGCTGCTACTGCTGCTATATCTCCCACCATGGCAGCCAACGTTCCTCCTTCCGCTGAGACCCTTCTCAGCGGTGCTGCCGCCCACCCGCCCAAGACCGCTGAAGAGATCGCCAACCAGTATGACCTGCTGCCCAAGTTGATCCCCTATCTCGACCGCCATCTGGTCTTCCCTCTCCTTGAGTTCAGCTCCGGCTCCCAGGAAGATGACAAGGAGATGATCCGCGCCAAGTACGAGCTGTTGAAGCACACCAACATGACCGACTATGTTGCCAACCTGTGGAAGGAAATTAACGACTCCGACACCATCCCCGACGAGTTCGTCAAGAAGAGAGAGGAGGTTCTCGCCAAGTTGCAACACTACCAGGAGCAGAGCGCCAAGATCACCGAGCTGCTGCAGGATGAGGATGTCGTCGGCAATCTGCGCAGTGACAAGGTCGCCAACTTGAAGTTCCTCGAGGAGGAGCACGGTGTTACCGCCGATATGGTCAACAGCCTTTTCGACTATGGTCGCTTCCAGTACAGCTGCGGTAGCTACGGCAATGCCGCTGAGTTGCTGTACCAGTTCCGTGTTCTTTCCACCGACAACGACAAGGTTGCCTCCGCCACATGGGGTAAGCTCGCCTCGGAGATTCTGACCACCAGCTGGGATGGTGCTATGGAGGAGGTCCAGAAGGTCAAGGACTCTATCGAGACCCGTCTCTTCAACAACCCTCTGGGTCAGCTCCAGAACCGCTCCTGGTTGATCCACTGGTCTCTCTTCCCCTTCTTCAACTACGACCCTGCTCGCGATGTCCTGACCGACCTTTTCTTCTCCCCCGCCTACATCAACACCATTCAGACCAGCTGCCCCTGGATCCTGCGCTACCTCGCCGCCGCCGTCATCACCAACCGCAACCGTGCCCACAAGAACAGCAACGTCTACCAGAAGCAGCTGAAGGACCTGATCCGCGTTGTTCGCCAGGAGGGCTACGAATACAACGACCCCATCACCGACTTCGTCAAGGCGTTGTACGTTGACTTCGACTTCGAGGAGGCCCAGAAGAAGCTGGGTGAGGCTGAGGATGTGTTGCGGAGCGACTTCTTCCTCGTCTCGGCTGCCGATGCCTTCGTTGAGGCTGCCCGTCACCTGATCTCCGAGAGCTACTGCAAGATCCACCAGCGGATCGACATCAAGTATGTTACCCAACGCGAAGGACATACATTCAGAGCGTAACCGTGCTAACCGATATCTCCAGGGACCTGTCTACCCGTCTGGGTCTGAACCAGGATGAGGGTGAGAAGTGGATCGTCAACCTGATCCGCGACACTCGTGTCGACGCCAAGATCGACTACAAGGAGGGCACTGTGATCATGAACCACCCCCCGCAGTCGGTGTACCAGCAGGTCATTGAGAAGACCAAGGGTGCTTTCTTCCGCACGCAAGTTCTGAGGTTCGTCCAATACCCTGTCAAATCGACCCATCTCTATTGCTTGTCACTAACGCCAGGATAATCATATAGTGCTGCCGTTGCGAAATAAATGACACCCCCCACTTCTTGAAATTATACCGAAACAAGAAACTTTCGTCCTTTTACCGTTCTCTTCATGGTTCTGTTCATGTTAGTAGTATCTTCCGCCGCAGTGCGGACTTCCTGAAATGATGGGACCAAGCAGAGTGGCATCAGGCTGGCGTTCAGGTGGTCCACTATTCCTTTTTCTCTTTTTTATCTCTCTATCTTATTTCCCCTTTTCTATTTACGTTTCGTGTCCCACTTTCCACCCACTATATCGTTTATTTCCCCCTGTGTATCTCTTTATGATGTTTGACACCCTTCGGGATTTTGGTGTGTGTGATGACTCCCTTAAAAAGAAGAACGAAGTACCGTCAAAAATTCTATCCAACTATATCTGGACTTTTATTTTTGGGTCGACCAGAGGATGAAAAAAGGAAGGAAGGAAGAAAAGAAGCAGGGCCGGGGGAGTTTTCTTAAAAGTGAGAGCAGTCCTTTGCACACTTCTGTCTTATTGGGGTGTGCTTTCTCGTCCGAATAAGACGCCGTCGCTTGGTTACGTGTGATCGAGCTATGCTGTTACGAATGATCTATAGAGATGATGGAATCCAATTATCATTAACTCACTCAACAACGAGACCGGCTGCATTATGGTTTGAGGTGAATTTTATAGAGCCGTGGTCCTCAAACCCTATCCTAACTATATTTATCATCTTTCATCGCATGCGGAACAACCAATCCCACCCTCCCCTCCTCGGAACCACCAACAATTACCAATCCTATATAGTAGTAACAAAAGGTATCTGTAGAAATGAAACCAACAACTAGTAGAAAACCAAACCAAAAATATCCCCGCTACCCAAAAGACCCAAAAACCAGCATTAAACCAATATCGAAAAATGACAACCCATCCCTCCCCTTCCCCCCTTTTCTTTCCCATCTCATGTTCCAACCCACTTCATCGACTCCGTCTCGGTTCATAATCCATCATCTGCGACGATGATGATGACAGCGGTGGTGGTGCCCTGCTTCTCCTCCCCGAACTCCTGACAGGCACAATCTCATTGATATAGGGTTCGTGTCTGCCGAAAGTGGCGGCGGCGGCGGCGGCGGGGCTGGCTGAGTCACCTGCCATTCGGAGGGATTCTTGACGTTCGTATTCTCGGGACATGGTTGCTAGGTCGTCGATTTGTTCCTATTATTTTATACTATTAGTTTGGGGGACGGATGGAGGAGTAGGTGAGTAGGGACGCACGCACTCTTGTAAGTGGTACACCGACTATTAGGTAGCCGTCGCGTCCCTGGAGAGTTGTTGGGTTCATGTGTTAGAAGAGTGTGTTTGGTTCTAGGTGTTTTGTGTATGTGGCTGTGGTATATTGTCTCTACCTGGTATGAATATGGCCTGACGCTGGCTGATGGCCCTAGAAAGTATTGTATGTGGCCTAAGACTATATGACGGGACAGTCCGTATCCTGGGAGCCAGTATTGTTGGACTTGAGACATCTCCGTGAGGTTGTAGTAAGTTCAGTTAAGTATAGGGGAGTAAGTAGTGTGAGAGAAGTAGTGAGTGTGAGTGATGTAGTGCTGTGTTTGTGTTGTATACTAGATTTTGAACTGAATAGAGTGGACTACTTTCGATCATGACGACCATTCGATTGGAACTGGAACTCTCTTCTAGGGACCCCATATATATAGCTAGCTTCGGGTTTCTGGTCATGCAAGGAAAAAGGAAGAAGAAGATAACAAACGGACATAAGATTCATTCGTCACGCCTCGGTGGGTTCGATGTGGATGTGTCTCTCAAAGGTGTCGGAATGCCCTAGGGCAATGTGACTGTACATAGTGGGCTCCATCACTTAGGATGCTGATCAGCACGCCCGCCATCGGCCCAGCGAATTTTCTTCCAGTCAAGACTGCGCCTTTGCGAATGTGGCTTTTTACATAGACTCTTTTGCGAGCAAAATGGAACGGCTGCAAGGCCTGCTGCTCACGTCCGATTCCGGGGAAAACTCGCCTCACTCTTTCATCCAACCCCTTTGCGTCGGTAAAAGTGAGGCTTGGGCAACCCCCCAAGGGAAGACTGACAATTTCCGCAAATCGAAGGATATTGCGCCCACCTTCTCGCGTGCCTCTGTATTTGCACAGCTTGGCTATTCCTGCGGTGAACATGCACCACTGAAGTGGTCGGAGATGTAGGTATGTAGTAGAGTCTGTATGTGTGATGCCGTGGCTCCATGGACCGAGCGTTTCGGATGCAGCTAGTATGCTTGCTCGAAGTTTATTGGCGACTCCCCTAGATCTTGCAGCCCCAAAATGGTTTCGTACATTTCGGAATTTCTTGCGTCTCGAGTCCAGACGTCCTCATAGCCGGTGACACCTGCATGAGCCTGGAGCCATTTATACAGACCGGGTTGTTCGCAGATCTATTGAGGCCATGCCATACTGTATCCCACTTAGCCGACCGGACTGTTTGTGCCCGCGGCTCTCAGCGGCAGCTTGAGTCATAGTGTTCGGCCCGATTACTTCTTGTTTTTATTTCCGGGGTCCTTAATTTGACCTGTAATCGCTCTGCAAAGTTTATCGGGGCTGTAGTCGGTGCTATCTGTATATCGGTGGATACAGCATAGTTGTCACCTAATGTCGCAGATTCCGAGGTCTAGACTAGAGATGCATCATCTGAAGGGGAACATCTAAGCGTCGTGGCATGATTGACCATGTAGCCTGTACCCACGAAATATCGTAGCACAGAGATTTATGCCTCGGAGTTCGTCTCAGACCGTTGATGCTGTCCTTGCTGGGCCGAGCTAAGCTTGACGATCGTTGAAGACAGAATGGGTAGTGACATGATCCTACAGGGAACTAGACCTGGAGGCCCATTGTTCCTTTCCTGTATAGCCAGTCTTCGCGGCGATATCTGTGGCCTTTAGCCTTAGCTAGGGGTCACCTGCATCAGGGCTTGGGCGACTCTGATTTGGTAGTCAGCCACGCTTGCATGAGCCGGTCTAGCTAGGCCATGTTCTTCTTAACAGGGCTTGGGCTTCCTCTTTTTCAGTCACCCATCAAGCTTTGCAAGCGCCGGAAAGTGACTGCCACTGTTGTGACTTGTGACAGCCCGGATATTGCAGACACAGTACACCTGGTATGGCTCACAAAATCGTATGAGGCTATATCCAGCCTAGCCATTGATTGTTGTGGGCCCGGATATAGAGAAAGCGATGCGACATGGCAAACCGATTGGTCTTCAACTGAATAGTCAGCTGGAGGTGAGGCTTCACCTCACTCACCAAGCCTTAGATATTCGAAGCGCAGATGCCTACCTCTGCCATCGTTTGCCTGTGGACAGGGAAGGCTCTGTATTCTCCAATGGCGTCGCAATATCCACGAACTGGGCAGCTCCATCCCTGCCTCAGATCGTTGCTTTTATTTGCCCTCTTATAGTGACTGCAGGTTTTATTCGGCAAGGGGCTGAAGGTGAGGCTGAAGAAAAGAGTTAGCACTTCCTAGATCAAGGAAAGATGATGAATACATCAGGAAATAAGCTCTCTAACTTACTCCCAGGTTTCTTAGAAGTGGATTGTGACCGAAGCAGAAGCTGCGATCTTGGGGCTACAGCGGTGCAGGAGAAAGAAATAAGGCGGCTGAGGATTGAGAAATCAAGCTGGCAAGTGGACAGGAAGAAGGTGATTGCTTGACAGTGTCCCTGCCCTGAGGCGGAAGACCCACAAGTGATCTAGTCCTGGTCACAATCTCATCCCTGAAGATCTGCAGAGGTAGCTAGTGGGAACCTCGACAAGGCGACAGTGAGGCGTTCGGAGAATTAGAGAGGCAAAGTCAGGTGTGATAGAAAGGAAGGCACAGAAGGAGAGCATTGAGCTCATCAAACTCATTCAGCACGGTTCAGGATGGCTAGATTCACAATTTTCCAATGAATGCATCTTCACGCTTGCATCTTCACGCTTCGTATATTATAGTCTATACTCTTTTCATGACTCGTCCAAATAAACAACGTTCGCAGCAAATCTTAGATTGAAAACTCTCCGCTAATCCGCCTCAGTTGCCCTCCGGGGGTACATACGGGTTCACAAGCATGTCGCTGAATCTGTGGACTGGTTAGCAATCCTGATACTTCTCACAACCGGATATCTAGGGGTCGACGTACTTCTCAAGCTTCTCCTTGCCTCTGACTTCCTCAACCAGCAATGGCATCCTGACCACGTTGAAGTCTTCATACAACTCTTCAATCTGCTCCAAATACTTCTTCTGCATCTTCCTTCGTGCATTACATTGTTCGCACTCGCTGCTTTGCTTGGGGAACAGGAGCTGGTTGACCACAATGGCATGGGTATCGATGTTGTAGCTCGTGAGCTCCTGAATCATACGCTCGGTTTCGTAGAGGGACAAGAATTCCGCGATACAAACACAGACGAAGGTAGTCAGATCAGCGTCCTTGAACTGCGAGTTGACTTCGCTAATAGTCTCCCTCAGCGACTCCATCTTCTGCAACAATTCATCGATGTTTTGACCGCCGGGCAGACCGCCACGAGAACCAAGGATCGAGTTCAACATGGGACCAAACTGAGAGGACAGCTGCGACAGCTTGGCGAGAGCCTTCTCTAGGACAGTAGGGAACTGGAGGAAGCGGAGGGTGTGACCGGTCGGCGCAGTGTCAAACACAATAACTTCGTAGGACAGCGACTTGACCTGCTTCAGGACTTCGGCAAAAGACATAGCTTCATCAACACCGGGGATCTGCTCCTATTAGCCTTTTTTCCAACGAGAGCAATGTTATTCTGCTGGTCAGCACTGGTGTATGACGTACACTGAACGCAAGATCCTGCATCATTCCACCAACACCCATACCAGACAGAGGGTCGTCGCCCTGGCCTTCACCACTAGCCAGGAGATCTTGAATACTGCCGTTAGGGTCGATCTCCATAGCGCTCAGGTTCGAGTATCCATCGACCAGCCGGGCCTCCTTTCCGAACTTCTGACCGAAGGCATCGCTAAGGTTGTGCGCGGGGTCGGTGGAGATGAGGAGGACAGATTTGCGAACTTTGGCAAGCTGAATTGCAAGAGAGCAGGAAGTCGTAGTCTTGCCGACACCTCCTTTACCGCCGACAAAGATCCAGCGCAAGGTCTTCTGGTTCACCACCGACTGGAGCGTGGGCTCCATGAGGTCGTCGCTGTGCACAACGGCGGAGGACATGTTGCAAACTCGTTGAGATTATTATCGGAATTGATTCGATGTCTGAGGACGGTGCGATTGAGTGAGCTTCCTCGTTAAAGAGGCAGTGTCGCGATATTGAAGCTTGGACTTACCACGTATCGGTTCCCCGCAGAGGCCCAAAACTTTCAGTAGTGGCGGTTAGACAAGTTCGAGAACGTTCTCGGTAAGATAGAGTCACCCGAGCACTGGCGTGAAACAGGCCTATTCAGGTCCAGATGAGCGCGGTAGGAAGGTGCTGAAGATTCAGGTACAATCACTCTAGTGAATCATGTGCAGCGCCAAAGAAAAGCGTTTCCATTCGAGCCGGTGCAACACGCACGTGCGGATGCCATCATTTCTCTGCCTGAGGCGACCCCACCCGTCAATAAAGTGACATAATGCCTCATTTCTCTGAGATAATCTTGACTACTTATCTGTGTAAATCTAATCGAGCCGGCGGCTCTTTGTCGCTTTCCACGGACTCAATTATGAAGCTATTCGTTTTGCGACCAGCAACCCATTCCTACCAACCGAGTTCAGATAAACAGCTAATGGTCATTTCCAGCTAGCTTCTGTCTGCGTTTAGAGGCATTGAAAAGCAGTACAAGATTCTATGACACTACACCATTGCAGCAACCTGACATTTACAAGAAAGAATAAGCGGACATCTCCACTTAAAAGATTCTGGCTTGTTCCCGCATGATAAAAGCCGGGTCTTGCGTTACAGAAGTCTAGGTTAGTCAGATCGACGGACACCATGAACCCCAATCGTTACTACTACTTGGTATCGTAGCATCCCAAGCCGGGGTTGCACACACACACATCCTCATATCAAAATTGATCAGCTAGTGGGTTTGGAACTCTTAAGTTCAATCCAGGGGCACTAAACAGATTGGAGCTGTTGTAGTGCTACGGGCTTTTGGGACCACCCCCGAGTTACCCCACCGATGGTATACTCCGGCATCCCAGGGTAGCTCTGTCGGTGCTCTCCGATGCATGAGAAGCGGAGATAGAAAAAGCCCCTCGCGCGCTGAACACTCTCGAGACAATTCCTACTTTTCTCTCAGTATCTGAAATAATTACCTATAACCTACCCTATTCTCTCTTGATGGACCCTAGCTCGGAAATCAAGCCGTCAAGTGGTCAACTGGATAAAGTCACAGACCGTCTTAGCCTCTACCGCAACCAACTCCTCCAATCCCCGATCCACTCTACAGCACAACCCTTCAACAACTACAACGCAGCATCGACCCTCCCCCAAAATACCACCGCAATGTCTCGCGACCCCATTACCTGTCACGTCCTGAACACCCTGACGGGTACTCCCGCGGCGAACCTCCCAGTGACACTCACCCTCCTATCTGCACCCTCCAGCAGCAGCCAGAGTCCCATCACTTTCCAGGCGACGACCGACGCAGACGGACGAGTCAAAAACTGGGAACCCACCACAACTTCATCGTCCGCTTCGTCGGTCCCCGCTATCCTTTCTGCACTCCCAACTGCCGATAGCAAGACAAATTGGTCCGTTCGCTTTGACGTTGGTCCATGGTACGAGGCACAAGGTGTTGAGAGTTTCTGGCCCGAGGTCGAGGTGAAGTTTACAGTCAAGGGACGGGGCCGGGAGGGAGAAGAAGGATGGCGGCATTATCACGTTCCCGTGCTGTTGGGACCCTGGAACTATTCGACTTATCGCGGCTCATGACGAAGAGATACCTAGAATAGAAGGCATGGGGCGATTGTGTATGGATAGGACAGAATAGGATAGGATGGGATCTTAATCTTATCGCTGCCGACTACTTATTATTAAGTTACTTAAGTTATTTTATCGTGGAGAGCGCCCCATGCATCCCCATACTTATGACGTATCTGGAGAAAAAGCTGAAACCATTCCATGCACGGCTCAATAGTTTTGTGACATGCCATTGATAATGGGGTCGCAAGCTTAATAGGGGATGTTAATTGCTACCCCCCTACAAACTCACTAAAGGTTAATCAACACCGAAGATGAGAAATATGGCGCAATTTTACAACCTTCTTCCTATTTCACGTCTGTGCGAGCGATGGCAGGCAATGGGATTAAATTAAATTGACCCTATTTGCCAAGAAACACGCACAGTTATCATGTCCTTCGAAATAACCATAACCATAGCTATAACTACCTACACCAACAGTCCGCGATCTAGACTTTCCAACCAACTTCTCGGAAAGGCTTGCATGAGCAACCGCTGATTTCGGTGGCTGCATAGGCAAAAAAGGCTAAATTATGGTGAAATCAGTACTTGTGTGTTAGGTGTATCGACTAGCGTGAAGAGCGACAGACAAACCCCGGACAAGCCAACACAGTTTGTTGTGCTGAGGGGTGGGAAAGAAGGAAGAGGGGGAAAGGATCAATTTGTTGTCACTTCGGCTAGCGCAATTAATCTATGATATGTCCCATAAAACTTGGGACTATACCTTTTTGATCATGCAGCTGAGATGGAAGCGCACCGCAGCTGTAGATACTTTCACTAGTATTGAAGCCGTTGGGCCTAAATACTCCCTTATCAAAAAGTACCGTTGAACGACAGGGGCAATTTATTTTTCATGCACTTTGAAGGTTGTGAAGTAGCGGGTACATCACATACAGTAAGTGAGTGATTCTTCGAAGGTACATGTGCATACTTATGTGCAGGAGACTTTGGCAATGATGCAACGCATAAGAAGAAATTATACTATCACCGGAGCTACAGTGAATACTGGACTCCTTTCAATGTCGATATCGATGGTATGTTCAGACAGGACTGGTTTCGATAGGACTGGTAACGAACATATTGACCTGTAGCACTATCATGTACTGTCTGGGGAACGCAGTACCACTGCCAAGGCCTAAACGAGACGCGAACTGACAGTTTGTAGGGGCCTTCTCAAGCCTAATAATGTGGAGGGAAGGGGGGGGCGTATACTCTACTCCGAACCTTCTTGTCCGGTCCACCATTCAACCGTGTAGCCTGTACCACCCACGGGGAGCAATGGAATAGATTGTCCAGAATCCAAGTGGCAATCCACTAGATTCCTTCATCCTTGTTTTGGGCCCCAAAGAGACCGCGCGAGACACTCTCACGTGATGGATACCCACGGGACGAAGGCCCTAGAAGTATTGCGTCATCAGCAGGGGCCCAATCAGCAAGCGGACGTGTCACTCGATGTCCCGAGCGAGACTGATTGGAACAACACTTCCCCCCTGAAATGAGAAAGAACGAACCCAGAATCTGGGCAACGGCGATAAGAGAGCCGAGGATTGGAAGGATTTCCTTGTTGGACCCGAAATCTATGTATCTCCAGATTTGGGCGTTGCTCCATGGGCCATTCAGGGAGGGAATCGATGGCATGGAAGTGGCATCGACCATTCGAACAGATGAAGATCCCTCACCGCCCTGCGGCCGGACAAACATGGCGTCGTCTCCATGATTCGTTCACCCGCTCGAGATTGAGACTCTGCAGGGCGGGGGCTCGGAAACGGGCCCGTGAGTGGCTGGACCAAGTGGATGCGCTGGTACATTAGTGGTCTTATGGAAAGGTGCGCGAGTGGCCACTGCCGGCTGGTCCGACTGTCCGACAAGCCCAGGAAAATTCCTGTCGTCGTCACCGTGATCTCATTCATGGTTTTCTTTACCCCTTCCTAACTCTCTCGCCCTTAACCAACTTTCCCTCTTCTGCCTCCAATACATTTTGTTGACCAGTTTGTGGTTACAAGTGCTTCGAATCCAAAGCTTTAAACTTTTGGGCAACCTCTTCGTGTACTTTCCACACATCCCTGGATAGCGACCAACATTCTTATACCTTTGCAATTTTCTTTCCTCGGGACCCGGAAGTGTGTCATACTATCTACTACCACTTTCTTATTAGGTTGAATTTGCCTATCGTTTCCGCCGTCATCCAACAATCGTGTCCACCCGGGTTATTCTTTGCTTGGATTGGCTGACAAGTACTGCCGGGAATCCACTCCGTCTCCAAGTTTCGTTTTTGCAAGTAAGGGCCAGCCAGCATTTCGCCTGCATAATCATACAGTGCCTGGTCATTTACTATAGGGTAAGTTGTTCTTTTTGATTTGCTGTTTTTAGTTTCCGGTGCTTTTTTTTTTCTCTTACCTCGCCTACCCTTTATTCATTTCATTTATTTTTTTTGGGCGAGATTCTGTTGCGGAGTTTCAATATTCCTGCTTTGAAATCAAAAATCATAGGGTGGATGAAGCAAAAAGAAAAAAATACGGAAGAGAAAAGAAAAATACAATTCTAAACAGGAAAGACCAGCAAGAACAAGATTGGTTCCAAATACAGAACCAGAACCGAAGATAAGAATTAAGAAAAAAAGAAGAGTGAAAAGAACCTCAAAAGAGAAAAATAGAAGGGGGGAAAAAAACAAAACCAAAAGAATAGAAAAGGAAAAGAAAGAAAAAATCTTTTTCGAAGAAAAAAAAAAAAAATTCCATGTTAGTGGTTTCGAGGTTGCACTCTGGCTGGTTGGTAACCCGCGGGCTTTTTGTACTCTCAGGGTTGCATGGTTTCGGCGTGACAGACAGTCGAGACCAAATAGGCATAGCGTGGCTCGACGGCCACTCGACCGCCTCCCCTCTTTCTTTTCCCCCCTAAATAATCTCCCTGTCGAAGCCCGGACTACGTCACAACTTTTTCCTTTCCCTTCCCCTTCCTCTCCAACACGATCTACTTCTGTCTGAACTGCCGTGTACTCGCTCAGTGACCTCTGGGTACAGGCGTTTGCGCTGCAGTATCTCCAGCTCTCCGAAGCATCAACAACTTATCGCGTTTTACTAACTTCAATCAACCAGCTTTGTCTCTTTTTAACTTCCCATTCCCGTACCCCTCCAGTTGTTTTTTTCTTGTTCAGCGTCCGTCCCCGTCCTTATTCTTCTTCGTGTCCTCGCCACCTCCGTCCGCTCGCTTGGCTATTTTTTACCCTTACATCCCCGGGGTCACCTGTCGACCTCCCTCGATCTAATATATCGACACCAACCAAAATATCTTCCCCCTCCTCCTTTCTTCGCTATTATGTCTGCGGCTGTTACTTCGACCGTTTCGACCAGTCTAACTAATCATACCGATACTCGTAATTCTTCCCCAATGGGTGCGAAAAAGGCGGGTCTAGACGAAGGTGAGTGAGTGTTGTGCATCTTTAAAAAAAAACTGTTTCGATCCTTCGTTTTGCGCGCGCGCGGAACTCTGGTACCTCCCATATTCCAAACTCCCGAATATCTGCTGTATCTTGCACTTCCTTACTTCATCATCGACCCTTGACCTGTTCTGGCTTGGTTGTACGCCACTGTTCCCCCAAATGTTCTGTTGACTACCCGCCGCCGTCGGGATGACCTCACAATTGGCGTCATCGATGGGGGTCACTGTTATCAGATCCCCTTCCTCTCAAACTTCGGCCTGGACCGCCTTATTTGGCCAACCTCTTTCTACCTACCCCTGTTTCAGATAACCTCACTGTCGCGTACTCCATCATCATCATTATTATCATCATTATTACTATTGTTGTTGTTGGTCGTCATACTAACGCGCACATCTGCTCCGGATACAGACTCCCGGGCGACCTCTTCGGATCTCAAAGATACCAAGCCTGATGTAGATCCTCAGACCTCGTTGGCGCCGCCTCCGCGACCAGCCATAACAAGCGCGACTGATACTCCCGATTACTTCAATTCCGTCCACAACCCTTTCTCTCTGGAACCCAATCCCTTCGAGCAATCTTTCGGCAGTGGTGGTTCCTCGGGCGAAACACCCGGAAAGTCGATCCTTCCTCCTGTTGCAGCACTTACTTCACCTGCCCTGCCGGGCACAAGCTCTGCCGGCGGCGGCTACGGTTGGTCCAACTCTCTGCGATCCGGGCCGCTGAGTCCTGCTATGCTCGCCGGTCCGACTGGCACTAGCGATTACTTTGACAGTATTGGCAGGGGTTTCCCTACTCCTAACGAGTCTTCTCTCCGCACTGGATTGACACCGGGCGGAGGGGGGTCTATGTTTCCCGCTCCTAGTCCAAACTCTCAGGCACTTCTGCAGCAGTTGCAGAGTGGTGGTGCGACACCGTCGACTATCGAATTCCACCGTACTGCTCTCAACGCTGCCAAGAAGAACAGCTTAGGTGGTCCAACCTCTAACCCCACTTCCGAACCTGATCCAGCGACGCAAAACTCCAATATGGATATTAAGCCGAACCAACCTACAGGTTCCGACCCATTCGGTCATCATGACGCTGCCGATGCGGCCAACGGGCTTTTCATGCTGGCCAAGGGCGGACAGGCGAATCCCAATCAATTCGCTGTGTCGAACCAAGCTTCGATTCAGCCACAGAGTATTCAGGCCAATGACCAGCAACTTGAATCTGGCGCTGATAGACGTAACTCGCAAAACATGAACGGTGTATCAGGCAGAGAGACCAGCGGCGACGCTTCCGACATGCAGGGTGAGCAGACAAAACCTGCTGCCAAGGGCAAAGCCAAGAAGAACACTGGTTCCAAAGCCAGCACCGCAGGAAACAACAGGCGCAAGGCAGAAGATGCACCTAAAGGGTCAAACAAGAAGGCCAAGACGAGTAACGGGTCTGGTAGTGTTGAGCCTCCTTCCGATGTCGGGGATTCTGAAGATGATGAAGATGATATGAAGAGGAAAAACTCGACAGACACGAAGAAAATGACTGACGAAGAGAAGAGGAAGAATTTCCTTGAGAGGAACAGGTAAGATGCGCTGCTTCATTCTGGCGCAGCTATGTGCTAACGTGGATTGCAGGGTTGCTGCGCTCAAGTGTCGTCAGCGAAAGAAGCAGTGGCTTGCCAA